TGCAAGCTTACCTTCATCTTCATCCTGAAAAACCAGCTTTAGTAGGCATCCGGAGGCTGCCCCTAAGGGGGGGGCAATTAACGGAAATTTCCCATGAGACAGCTGGCGAATAGACATGCGCACAGAAATGCGCGATTGCACACACGTACGTGCACACGCAGACGGACTATTTAAAGGGTGCCTCTGCCTGTGCTGAGTGCTGACTGGTCTTTGGCTGTTCCCCGTTTCCTGCTCGTTCCTGTGTGATTCCCTTGTTGCTGACCCGGCTTGTTCCTGACCTGACTCTTGATTACTCTCCTGCTTGATACTTGTTCCTGACCTTGGCTCTGCTCCTGACTTTGGCTTGCTTATGATTTGGTACCTCGCTGTCCGCCCGTTGATGACCCCGGCTATTCCTAAGACATTGCTCCTGTCTCCCATCCCAGCTTCCTGCCTTGCTCTGGTGCACGCCTTGCGATCTACCATACCAGCTCTGCATATCGCTACTGTTCCTGAATCGGTGGTCCATCAGTCTTTTAAGGACTCCAGCTGCAAGTGCTGCAAACAACATCTGCTGGCACTCTTGTCCCCCTGGTCCCTAGACACCCTTTGTTCCAGTGGGGTCAGGGCTAGTGACACAAGTGAGGCCGACCTCGTCATTTCAGTCTCCAATCAGGTACGGACTTCGGTGGGCATTTTGACACTGGGGGGAACTGATTTGGTGTCACTGACATCTCCAGTGACACCAATACAGTGATCAGTGCTAATAAAAAGCACTGACACTGTACTAATGACACTGGGTAGGAAGGGTTTAACGTGGGGCTATAAAGGGTTAACAGTGTGCTGATTTACTGTGTGCTGTGTCTGTGTGCTTCACTGTAAGAACACTGCTTTGCATGGCTGTACTGTGCACAGCCATTCTGAGCAGTGTGCACGAGCTGACAGGAAGGAGAACTGTTTTGTTTACAAACCGTTACCCCCCCCCCCCCCCACCCCTGTTGGAGATCCTTAGCAATCAACGGGCACCGGCGAGTAATCACCGGTCGGGACCCAGTGATTGACAGCCGAGGCCGTGAATGGCGGTGCGGGTAGGGCGCGCGTGCCTCGCGTGTGCCCCCTACCCGGAAATGCAAAATCACATATATATACATGATTTTGCACACCCCTGCCACCCTGTAGCAGCATATCTGCTATAGGGCGGCAGGAATGTGGTTAAATGTTGGTCATGTCTCTGAATGAAAATAGCTGTATTCATAGCATAGGGAGTTGAATCCCTGAAGGCCCTATGTGGTAAAGCCCGCTGTCATAGGTGAGGATTTGACCTCCCTGACCTCCCATGGTATGGCTAGTGCCTTGGGGTAGCCCCTCTGCTGACACCTGTGCCATGACTAATAACACCCCCCCCCCCCCTCCTCCAGGAGGAAGAATGGTTTTGTTTTATTTTTTACTTTTTTTTTTCTATAAATTTACGTGTAGTGTTTTATAGGAGCTCCTGAGCCGCCCTGATGGCTACATAGTGGAGTTGGAGCTTAGGGGCAATCTGGATAGTTCTAGGTTCCAAATGCAGAGGGCATAGAGCTTCCTTTCCATCCTCTGCATTCCCTCTCCAATGGCCAAGCTGTGGACGCAAGACTCGACTCGGCCAATGACATCACAGGTATGGGGTGTAGCTTCCTAGTGGGGCCATATTGGTTACTATGATTTCCAGAGACCAACGAGCGGTGTGAACAAACAGGCTTTCTCCTTAGTTTGGGAAGGGGAGAATGGGGATGAGTAGGTCCACAATACAATGGCTCATAGCTGCAAGCTGAAATTTCACAGCTTCCCCCCATGTTTACTGCTTTCATATATAAACAGAAGAATATTCCCACACTTAGTGCATAAAGTGAAATGTGACCGTAACACACACAAAAAATATCTTAATACAAGAAAAATATTACTTAAAAATAGGTGTGCTATCAATTATAAAAACAAAATGTGTCATATTAAGTATACATACAGTACGTATACTTAATATATGACATTTTTTTTTTATAATTGATAGCACACCTATTTTTAACCTCTTCACGCCGGCCGCATACAAATGTCTGGCCTCCCGGCGCTTCACCACTTATATTATTTGGTTTCACATATCTTGCGGTATAGAGAATAGGTGATAGCAGCTGACTCACTAGGTTCTGTGGAGCGCAGGGGGATTTTTGTATTTTATTGCAAATGTGCGGCTGCTCGGCGTCTAGGCCCAGATGCCGGGAGGCCGCACATTTGCGTGCGGCTAGCGTGAAGGGGTTAAGATATAAATAAGGTATTCAGTGTTGCATTTGACATATTTTTGTCTGTAATACTTGAATCCAGAGTATGGTTGAGAAAAGAGAGAACCACAGATTAGAGCACTGTGGAAACACTGCAGTTCATTGTTTTTAAATGTAAACTAATGTACCTAGGCAAGAAGAATCCCTTGATAGAGTACCATATTTGGGGTGGAGTGTTGGCCAGCACCACAGAGGAAAAAGATATGGCTGTACTTGACAACTGCAAAATGAGCAAACAGTGTGGCCATGCAGTGGGGAAAGCAAATACATTTTTAGGATGCATCACAAGGGTAAATTGCTGCTCTCACCTCCACTCTAAACTCTAACTTCAACAACGCATAGACTTCTGGTATCTCTGAACAAATAGTGTATATATTTTGGTCTGTTTGTGTTGATTGATTCTTACCTCTTGTTGCACTTCTTTTATTACTCTGGCCTGTGTCTGGTCTGCGTTTGAGAAACATCCCCCTAATTCATGTGACCCTTATCAGTTCCTAATTGGGGTGGAGAAGAGTTGCTCATTTGACCATTTCCCTATAAATTTAGATCAGCTCATGGGGGGAGGGCACAGTCACAGAAGGGGTGCAGTTTTCTGCGTGAGTGCGGTTTTTGCAGGAGTGGCAAGCTGCAGTTGAACACAGCGGTTTTTGCAGGAGTGGCAAGCTGCAGTTGAACACAGCAGTTTAACTCAAGCAGCAGGAAGATACAGCAAAGAACTCTACTGCAGGCTGGATAGGCTGCAAGCAAACACCCTGGGAAACATCTCCTACAAGTCTGAGTCCCACTCCACCTACCTTTTAATATGCCGTCTCTACTCCTTCTTTTCATATTACTATCCTGCGTTCCCAAAATCTCATTTCCTTACCCCTCTGCTCCACCCCAAAGATTACACCTCTCACACTCACTGTTACCATCTCCCCATCTCCCTACTACTGCTCTCATCACCTTCTGCTGATACTTCACTCACCTGCTGACCCAAACACCAGGACTGGAAGGCATGCGCGCTCGTGTACATCCCGCTCCCATGTTACTTTTCTCACCCTTCTTCTCCTAACCTCTGGGGATATCTCCCCAAATCCTGGTCCTCCAGTATCTCACCCCCACACCAGCCACCCTCTTTCCTCTGGGAATAGCTGCAATCCCCCCAATCTAATATCAATCCCCGTGCTCCAAAAAACCACCATCCCTTTTTCATGTGCACTCTGGAATAACCGCTCTCTGTAATAAGCTCACCTCTGTCCATGACCTTTTTGTCTCCCGCTTCCTTAACCTACTAGCAATTACAGAAACCTGGCTTCAAGCAGCAGATTATTTTTCTCCCGCAGCACTTTCTTATGGAGGCCTTCTCTGGACCCACTCACCCAGACCCAGTGGTCGGAAAGGAAGTGGGGTTGGTTTGCTTCTATCCCCACTGAGCACCTTTCAAGTCCTCCCTAACCCTCCCTCTCTATCCTCTTCTTTCGAGACTCACTGCATTCAAATGTTTTCTTCCATTTCTCTGAGGATTGCAATGATCTATCGGCCTCCTGGACCGGTGTCCCGCTTTCTTGATGATTTCTCTACCTGGCTACCCTACTTTCTTTCCTCTGAACTACCCACTATCATTCTTGGAGATTTTTAACATCCCCATTAATGTCAACAACCCAGCTACATCCCAACTCTTCAACCTAACCTCATCTTTTGCCTTAGCGCAATGGACACAGTCTTCCACTCATTCTGAAGGGAATACATTAGACATTGTTTTCTCCCATCTTTGCACTCTCTGCAACCTCACAAACTCCCCCTTTCCTCTCTCTGATCACAATCTCATCACCTTCACAGTGTCCTCATCTTCAAACACTTATCATTCCAAGCAGCAAATAATTACCCGCAGAAACCTTCACAACTTGAACCCTGCTCCTTTCCACTCTGCAACTGACCGCCTCTATGACAGATTCTCTCCCCTATCCTGCCCTGACCTGGCCACTACTGTCTACAACACTTTGCTTTCATCCACACTAGACTCACTTGCTCCTATAACGCCACAAAGCATCAGGCCCTGACCATTACAACCTTGGCAGACTGACGACACCAGAAATCTTAAACAACATAGTCGTGCACTGGAGCGATTGTGGCGTAAAACCAAATCTCACCAAGCATTCACCCTATATAGCAGCAATGGGAGGCCATACAGCACCCTATGACAAAATGGAACCCACCAGCAGTGTGAGGAGACCTGAAAGTGGCACATGGCAGAGTGTGGCGATGGAGACAGCAGCAATGGAGGCGCGTACAGGGACCCCAATGACACACTCTGGACCTGGCAGCAGCATAGAGGAGGCGGTACAGGGCCCATGACAGATTACGGGCCTGGCAGCAGCATGAGGAGTCGGTACGCGGGGCCCCATGGCAGATTAACGGGCCTGGCAGCAGCAATGGGAGGCCCGTAATCTGCCAGCACCCTATGACAAAATGGAAACCCACCAGCAGTGTGAGGAGACCTGAAAGTGGCACATGGCAGGAGTGTGGCGATGGAGAGACAGCAGCAATGGAGCCGTACAGGGACCCATGAGACACTCTGGACCTGGCAGCAGCATGAGGAGGCGGTACAGGGGTCCCATGACAGATTACGGGCCTGGGGCAGCAGCATGAGGAGTCGGTAACGGGGGCCCATGGCAGATTACTGGCCTGGGCAGCAGCAAATGGGAGGCCCGTAAATCTGCCAGCACCCTATGACAAAATGGAACCCACTCCAGCAGGTGTGAGGGAGACCTGACAAGTGGCACATGCAGAGTGTGGCGATGGAGACAGCAGCAATGGGAGGCCGTACAGGGACCCATGAGACACACTGGAACCTGGCAGCAGCATGAGGAGGCGGTACAGGTCCCATTGGCAGATTACGGGCCTGGCCAGCAGCAGCAATGGAAAGGGCCCGTAATCTGCCCAGCACCCTATGAACAAAAATGGAACCCAACCAGCAGTGTGAGGAGACCGGGAAAGTGGCAAATTGGCAGAGTGTGGTAGGCGAATGGAAGACAGCAGCAAGTGGGAGGCCGTCACAGGGACCCATGAGACACTCCTGGACCTGGCAGCAGCATGAGGAGGCGGTAGCAAAAGTGGCCCCATGGCAGATTACGGGCCTGGCAGCAGCAATTGGGAGGCCCGAAATCTGCCAGGCACCCTATGACAAAATGGAACCCACACCCCTAACAACTCCCCACCACACCCCCCATGCCCCAGCATGTGAGGAGACATGAAAAGTGGTCACATGGCAGGAGTGTGGCGCTGGAGACAGCAGCAATGGGAGGCCCAGTACAGGGACCCGATGAGACCCTCTGAGACCTGGCAGCAGCAATGAGGCGGCGGTACACAGGGGCCCATGCAGATTACGGGCCTGGCAGCAGCAATGGGAGGTCCCGTAAATCTGCCAGCAACCTATGACAAAAATGGAACCCACCAGCAGTGGTGAGTGATACCTGAAAGTGGCATCAAAACTTGGCAGAGTGTGGTGCGATGGAGACAGCAGCAGATGGGAGGGGCCGTACAGGAACACCCATGACACCACTCTGGACCTGGCAGTAAGCATGAAGGATGGCGGTACAAGGGGCCCATGGCAGATTACGGACTCTTGGCATCAGCAAATGGGAGGCCCCCGTAATCTGCCAGCACCCTATGACAAAATGGAAACCCACTCAGCAGTGTGAGGAAACCTGAAAGTGGCACAATGGTCAGAAGTGTGGGCGATGGAGACCCGGCAGCAATGGAGAAGGACTGTACAGGGACCCATTAGACACTACTGGACCCTGGCAGCAGCAAGAGAGGCGGTACAGGGCCCATGGCAAGAGTGCCGAAGCGTAAGCAACCTTAAATTGAATGCCATTACAAGAGGCCTATGGTTAAAAATAATAACATGTTTGGGCAATGATTCAATGGCGGATTTAGTCAAGTTGTGTCAGGAACTGGTGTTTAGAAAAAATCCAGACTAATCCACGCCTGAATTTCATTTTCACAAGCTGAGTCTCTCCACACTTGTGGGTGACAGTCGTGTTCCTCCGTGGAGTTACAATACCTCCTGCCCGCACTAAACACGCGCTCCGATGCCACGCCTAACTGGCCGGCGTGCATGACAGCCTTTCAAGGGCAAATTCAGTCTAGTGTTGGGGCCAAAGGTACAAGTTTCGTTGCCCAGTAGTCAAGGGGATTGTCTACCTCGGTTGGCAGGGTGCTGTCAAGTATGGGGTCCCAAAGCCCTGTTGTTTAAGGTCCTGATTCCAGGTCCACCTGATGCTGCTGCTGGCAGCTGCGAGCGGGTAGTAGTTTCCCCTCACTGCGCTGGTGAAGAAAGCTACTCATCAATCGACTGCAGACTGACGGCACAGCCGCTTGCTGGTGGAGCTGCCACTGCTCCTACCACCCCACCCCTCTCCTGCCTGCCATGGCAAACGGAACGCGAGCGCACAGGGCCCACAGTGTCTGAGGATGGACGTTTGGCGCAGAAAGGCAGAGACCAACTGACTACATAGATGGTTTTTATAGTACGTTATTTTGGCCTCCCTCTCAGCAGGTGTGAAAAAAGGCCACCATTTTTGAACGGTAGCGAGGGTCCAACAAGGTTGGACAGCCAAAAGTCATCCCTCTGTCTGATGGTTATTATTCGGCTGTCCACGCTACGCAAGCAAACCGGCATGCTATGGGCCATTTGTGCCAAGGAAGTGCGAGGGACTCCCTGCCTCCATCAACCACAGCATACTGCCACGGTGCGTCTGGGTCCATCTGTCTCCTCCTCCTCTACCAGATGCTCCTGCTCCTCCACTCCTGTCTCGCTGAGTGGAAAAAAAAACCACCCATTTCACTTCAATAATTCCTGAGCACCAATGTCCTCCTCTACCTCCTCCTCTTCTTTCCTGTCCTGCCCCCACAGGGGTCATGTGGCGTTTGAAGTCTGGTGCTCCCACGTCTACCGCACTCTCCCTGACCACCATTGTTTAACAGCATTTGTTCCAGACTGCAACAGAGAATGACGTCTTCATGGCCCATATCCTGCCGACTCACGAATAGCGTGGCCTCCTCAAAGGGCCTGAGCAAGCGGCAGGTGTCACGCATGAGCTGCCAATGGCTGACATCTAAGTTACACAGGGGATACCATTATCCCCGCTTGTAACATCAGGAAATCGGTGATGGCCTTTCGCTGTTCGTAAAGGCGGGTAACATATGTAGGGTTGAATTCCACCTGTGTTGCAAAACGTCACAGCATGAGGAGGGCGGTACAGGGGCCCATGTCAATTACGGGCCTGGCAGAAAAAAAAAAGCAATGGGAGGCCCCGTAATCTGCCAGCACCCTAAGACAAAAGTGGAACCCAACCAGCAGTGTGAGGAGACCTGAAAGTGCACATGGCAGAGTGTGGCGATGGAGACAGCAGCAAATGGGAGGGCCGTAACAGGGACCCCATGACACACTTACTACGGGCCTGGCAAGCAGCATTGAGGAGGCGTACAGGGGGCCCATGGCAAGATTACGGGCCTGGCAGCAGCAATGGGATCCCGTAATCTGCCAGCACCCTATGAACAAAATGGAACCCACCACAGTGTGGATGAGACCTGAAAGTGGCACATGGCAGAAGTGTGGCGATGGAGACAGCAGTCCAATGGAGGACCGTACAGGGACCCATGAGAACACTTCTACCTGGCAGCAGCATGAGGAGGCGGTACAGGGGGGGCCCATGGCAGATTACGGGCCCTGGCAGCAGCAATGGGAGGCCCGTAATCTGCCAGCACCCTATGACAAAATTGAACCCCACCACAGTGTGAGGAGACCTGAAAAGTGGCACATGCAGAGTGTGGCGATAGAGACAGCAGCAATGGGAGGCCGTACGGTAGGACCCATGAGACACTCTGGACCTGGGCAGCAGCATAGAGGAGGCGGTACAGGGGCCCATTGCAGATTACGGGGTCTGGCACAGCAATGGGAGCCCGTAATCTGCCAGCACCCTATGACAAAATGGAACCCACCAGCATGTGAGGAGACCTGAAAGTGGCACATGGCAAGTGTGGCGATGGAGACATGGGGGGGGGGGGGGGGGTGGCCCCCACTGGCCACGCTTGACATTTCTGGCCACATAGTCGACAGCTAGCAAAGCGGCAAACGTTTACTTCCCTCGGGCGGCTTGACGAAAAATGAGCCACACCAGCCGAGTAGGAGAACTTTGCACCCCGCAAACTCCTCACTGAGCAGACTGCTACTATCCTCCTCCGTGCACACCCATGACACCACTACTGGCCGTGGTGGTAGGCTGCAGTGGACAGGTGCTGTACAGATTCCGTGGCCGTTTGCCTCCCTGACACTAGGCTGCAGCACCCTGCGGGCCTCCTGGAGCAACCCATCCCGACTGTTTTTGCTGCGCTGCCAGAAGCTGTGGCACCCTCTTCTCCTGATGATGGAGGAAGCAACATAGCCTGATGACTGTTTACGAGGCTGGCCATGTGCGTATCATGGGCCCTCATCATCATCAATTTAGGGTCTCAGCGTCACTACTAGCCCCCTCGCTGCGTGTGGGACCAGGAGACAGACCTGTCTCTAGACCGGCTACCAGCCACTCTCCCCTCCCATACTCATCTTCGCCTGCTGCTGAAGAGGCGGAATGTCTCCCCCCGTTCCTGACCCCGCCCTCTGTTACTCTTCCTCACAGGTACAGTGGAGGCTTGAGCCCACAGCCATGCGATACTTTCGCGAGTTGGTGAGGGAACACCAAAGGACAGGGCAGTAGAGGACACTGATTTCAGTGGGCTTGCTCGCCGGGCCATGCCAACTAACGGTTGTGTCTGACTACCCACCGACCGTTGGCTGTAGGTGTCAGAGGTGACCTGGGAAGAGAAGACGACCAGAGCCAACCAATCGATGAACGGCAGGGTTGTCGGTGGAGACACGACCGCTGGATGACACCCTGGGAGCACTGGCCTTTTTTCTCTTCGAACTATTGCTTGCCTCGACCAACCCTTTCACTGCTGCCACGTCTGCTCGCTCCTGAAACATTGCTCGCCTCTGACACTTTAACTCCTCCTGCGTGATGGTCCTGACATACTCTTTAATTCACGATTCAGTGTCCCTGAGCAAGCGATTCTGTGTCCCTGAGTAACAATTCTGTGTCCCTGCGTAACATTCTGGTGTCCCTGAGTAAAAATTCTGTGTCCCTCAGTCAAACAATATCTGTGTCCTGTCCCTGATAACAATTCAGGGCCCTCAGTAACAATTTTGTGTCCCTCATAACAATTTTTGTCCCCCAAACAAATTTTGTGTCCCCCAGTAACAATTCTGTTCCCTAGTAACAAATTTTTTCGTCCCCAGTAACAATTCTGTGGCCCCCAGTAACATTCGTGTCCCCGAGTAAATTCTGTGTCCTGATAACAATTCTGTTCCCTGGGGGAAAAATTTTTTGTGTCCCTGATAACAAAACTTTTTCCCCTCAGAACAATCTGTGTTTGTCCCTCAGTAACAATTCGTGTTTGCCCCGGAAGT